TAGTAGTAAGGCCAGGAGCCCCTAGTAGCGTCCTCGCTCTTAGTAGCAAGGCCAGGAGCCCCTAGTAGCGTCCTCGCTCCTAGTAGTAAGGCCAGGAGCCCCTAGTAGCGTCCTTGCTCCTAGTAGTAAGGCCAGGAGCCCCTAGTAGCGTCCTCGCTCTTAGTAGCAAGGCCAGGAGCCCCTAGTAGCGTCCTCGCTCTTAGTAGTAAGGCCAGGAGCCCCTAGTAGCGTCCTTGCTCCTAGTAGTAAGGCCAGGAGCCCCTAGTAGCGTCCTTGCTCCCAGTAGTAAGGCCAGGAGCCCCTAGTAGCATCCTTGCTCCCAGTAGTAAGGCCAGGAGCCCCTAGTAGCGTCCTTGCTCCTAGTAGTAAGGCCAGGAGCCTCTAGTAGCGTCCTTGCTCCTAGTAGTAAGGCCAGGAACCCCATACGAGATAGTTTTGCACAAACAAAAGTTTTTTCATTTTACACCGAGCCTAGGCGAGGGCAGGAGCGCTTCAAGAGAGCTGCTTGTGCAAGAGCACTTGGGAGCATCATCAATGGGGAGGTGCTGTCGTCCGTTTGGACGCGGAGAAAACGCTTTCCCGTTCGACGCTGAAGCGAAAAGAACAGTTGTTTGACGCTTTCCTGTTCGATTGTTTCGATGTGCGACATCAGCTGGGGAGGTGCAAGTCTTGGAAGAGCTGTTGGACGAGTCACAGGGGAAGCATCCGGAGCAACTTGGGTCCACATGGTCCGTTCGCTCCGTTCCACACGGAAGCTCCGTTGATCGTTGGATCGTTGGTCCCGGCCGTCGCTCCTCGTCCTCTTTCCCAAGGTTTGGTGGTGTTCTACCTGATGGACGTGGTGTCCTTGCAGTTGCATGGCTGCATGCTGTTTTGGGTCACCTCTCCGCTCACTTGCCCACCCCGATCCATCACGCCACCTTAAGTAAAGCTGCGATCCAACCGAATAGCAAGGGCAGTAGGGATGGCCTCCAACCTACTTGCAACGGCCTCCAACCTAATGGCGATGGCAGTAGCGATGGCCTCCAACAACCTATATAGTAGGGATGGCCTCCAACCTACTTGCAATGGGATCCAACCTAGTTGGCCTCCAACCTACCAACCTGCTAGCAGTGGCCTCCAACCTGCTGGGAATGGCCTCCCAACCTAGTTGCGCTGGCCTCCAACCTAGTTGCGAATGGCCAAGCATTTCCCGGCTCAGAGTTGCGGATGTGCCCGTTGCTGAGGTCCTTCTAGATGAGTTGACCGTGAATGCAGATGCTGAAACAGAGGTTTGGAGTTGGACCGAATCCTTTCACTCAACATCCTTGTTAACCTGTACTTGGAGTCGCCATGCCGGTTTCAGCTGCTAGGCGTTTGCAGACCTCCTCCTTCATTGCACGGCCTTTGATGTGTTGGGCTTAGAGATGAGGTGACAAAGGGAGATTTGGCCTTGCGAGGGAAGAAGCAAACCGATGCCACCGGGATACCGAGGCATCGTGGGATGAGACCGACGAGTGGAACGCTCTGACTCTCCAAGTCGTTCAGCACCTCAAGCCCGGTAGCCTTAGCAACGAGTTGTTTCTGCTGACCAGCCCAAGCCAGTGACAAGCATGGAGCCAGTGACAAGCATGAAACGTCAGCATTTTCGCTTCCGCAAGAAGTGGTTCAGCTGAATGTTCTGAGGGAGGACTTGAATGCCGGCGACCGCCTCGCAACCCTTGATCAGAGCAGTGTCATCAGCGAAAAGGCCTGTCATAAAGACCCGCTCCCGTTCGTTCCTTGTGACTTCCGTGACCGTTTTTTTTTCGCCCAAACGACCGAAGCCACGGTGGTGTTCCTCCGAAAGGGCGGAAGCTATGCAGCTCAGCCTTCGTTCAGCCGACCCGAACTGGACCGGTGAGGCAGCAGCGCTCCGGCGCCGCTTGCGTGGGGAGAGTGGGGAGCCCAAAGGATCAGGTCCGGTGAAAAGGAGAAGGTCCTGTTTGTCAGGTCCTTCAACAGCTTTGAAGGCTATCAGATTTTCGGAAACCAACCACAAAGAAAGAAAGGAAGACACGTTAAGAGACCTTTTCTTCGTCTCTTCATGTCTCTGATTCGTTGTCCTTCGCATCTCCGCCGAACGGGTTCCAAGGAACAGCCGCTGCGCCTGAAGGCTGCGATTTTGCCTGTGATTTTTGGCCCCTTTTCGGCCGCCGGAACCAGGTCGAGCGACGTGAACGCTCGCATTCAGGTTCGAATTCGTCAGATGTGCCCATGATGCTGTCTATGAACAGCCGTGTTCAGTAGCAGAGCTGCACTTGGTTTGCTTCACAGTCCAGGGTTTTGCAATGGTGGTGTGTGCAGGGGGGCCGGTTCAGGTGTCCAGTATGCATGACCATGCAGCCGGACTTGGTGCGCTGCCCTACTTGCCGCAATGTTGGCTATTGCAGCCGAAGCCCCAGTTTTGATTTTGAAGCACTGTTGGAGCGAAGTTCTTTTCGAAATCCGTTGTTGAGCAGTTCTTGGCTTCACCCGAAAGACCATCCAGACTTGAAGCGACATGTGCAGCCTGTTCCAACGTTCGATGTGCAGCGTGAGCAGCGTTCCAACGAGGTGTTCGACATCTTCAAGCGGATGCTGAGCGGCACCAGTTCTGGTGTACAAAGTGAGACACCGGAAAAGTCAGCGACGCGGCAAAATTGACGACCAAGGCGTCAAGGGACCAAATAACTGAGTAGATAAGGAGCTATAAGGAGCATCACCTGCTCTTTTTAGATTTGAGCCAGAGAGGGAAGAACAGTCTGCAGCAATCAGCTGTGCTTTTTTGATCTTTTTTGCATGTTGGTTCGTTGATGTTCGTTGGTTCTTTCGGAAAGGACCTGCCGGACTTGGCCGACTTGAGCGCCAGCCGCCAGAGCCCAGGAGTAGCCCATCGAGCCAAATCGAAGTCAATGGAAGTGTAAACCGTAAACCACCTTCCTTCTCGGCTCAGTACTACTGGAACTGACCTTTTGTTTCTTTAACTTTCTTCAGGTTCGGTTCGGGCTTAAAACCGAACGGTTTGGCCCAAACGTACCGCGCCGTGGGCAGCCCGCCGGTGCCCGCCCGCTTTGGGGGGGACCCTACGGCCGCCTCTCATGCGCTGCTGCACTCGGCGAGCGTCGAAGTCGATTTCCCAAGGCTCGCCCGGTCGACCGAAGGAGTCACCGGACTGGGAAGATGGACGGAAGATGAGGTGTGATGTGTGAGAACAGATGAAGGATGAAGGATGAAGGAAGGAGCAGAGCACGGGCAGTTTAAATCCAAGACTGGAGTTTAATTCCAGGTTGGCTGAAACATGAAAACTGTTGATCACCGCAATCGTGAGTTCAGAGAGTCAGAGAATCCATGCTGCCGATGTCCATTTCCGCCGAAAGCCATGCACCCATCGGGCCCCCATCATCCTGAGGTTTAGTAAAGCGGCCCAAGATCATTGATCCACCAGCTCCAGGCGGCAGAGTGCCTTCGTTTTCGGCAAGCACTCTGCAAGCACGTTGCGCAAGCACACGTTTCGTGCCAGGCCTCCGAGATTTGAGCGAAGAAGCAGCTTGACTTGCGCTTCTACTAGGAGCAAGGACGCTACTAGGGGCTCCTGGCATCGCTACTAGGGGCAATCGGACGCTACTAGTCTTGCGCTTCACTTTAGAAATCCAAGTGGCCACTTCTTAGGTGGCCAAGGCGGCGACTACGTCACTACTCTTTTTTAGCGAAGGACACCGATAAGAACACCGGTCTAACCGAAGACACCGGATTGTTTGGTGGGTGTGATGGTCCCTGGGCTGAGGTACTTTCAACAATCTTCCAATGTGGCTCTGCCGCAGAAGACACTCTTTACATCATGGAAGTCTCACTCGATATCACTAGTAGTTTCTTAGCTTCTTGTTCCTAGGGTAGTAAGGCCAGGAGCGCCCCTAGTAGCGCCCTTGCTCCTAGTAGCGGTGCCCTGTGCTCCTAGTAGCGATGCCCTTTGTTCCCACTTGTTCCATGTGTTGACTTTTTTCATCTTTCTTCTTATCTAGCCGACCTGCCAGGTGTTCGGATATTTGTGAGTGCAGTTGATCTCCTTGTGCTCGAGCACTTGCTCACATCGAATGAGGTCTGGCTGGTGTGGAGGTGCTAAGCTCTCTGGAGCCAAGCTCAAAATTTCTGCAGTCCGTGCTGCGGGAACCGAAGCACCCGTCCCTCGGATGCGTTCAGCATTCGCAACAACCCGCTTGGAGATGGGGATGATCTTTCTCTCTCTCTCGCTCGTTTTCTGGAACAATCGGTTCAAACAACGCATGCTGGACGCAACGTCCATCGCCAGACTGTCCGAGGCATTCACTGTGGACGAGGTTCTTGAGTCAGGAGACCCGAACGACGAACGACGAACGACATACCGCACGACGTGCCGATGCCGACTGATGCCGACCGATGCCGAGGAGTTTCCTGGAGGAGTTGATGGGCGGGATGAGTTTGTTGGAGAAGTGCTGTACCGGCAGCTGATTGGCCGCAGGCGATGCAAGCGTGTCGAGTGGCGAAAGGTGCCTCACTCAGCACGATCCAGTGCTGGAGCAAGAGAGGGCTCACCTGGGATGTTCTATCAGAATGGCTTCATCTTCGTTTTTGGCGGCTGGGGTGGCCGCGGACCCCGAAGAGATCTTCATGTCACCAAGCTGGACTCGCCCATGGAATTCCACCCAGTGGCGATTGATGGTGCGGGGCCATACCCCACCTACGAAGCCAAGGTCACCGTCCTCGACGACCGAGTATCGGGGACCGATCCACTTCGAGTGCTGGTGACCGGTGGATGGTGCCATGGTGGTTTGCTGAGCTCGGCTTGGGCCAACTTTTCGCTTTCTTTGTGCCATTACGTATGTGATAGGTCTACTTAAACAACAGAATATATATATATATATATGTATTCTTCTTTGATGTTCAAGGGTTTCTGGTGATTTTGGAGGGTTTTCTGGACTCTACCTGTGCCCAGGTTACTATGAAGAAAGTCGGCAGTATGGACTGATGGAAATCCACTGTAAAAATCCAGCGCTGTCTGCCATCAGGGCTCGTTGGGTCCAAGTTGGCTCGATGGACCGTCCCAGAGCCAATCACAGCGCGACGTTTGTTCCTCCACGTCTCTGCGGTGCTCACCTCTATCCCGAGGGCTACGTGGTGCTCTTTGGTGGGAGCATTGAGGGCGCTCGTAGTAGCCATCTGAGCTTGGTGGACTTATCCAATTTTCACTGGAGCCACGTGGACGTGGACGAGGGCCCAGCAGCTCCTGAAGCTCAGAATTCTCACAGCGCCACGCTTCTACCGAGACCTGTTGGACGAAGTCCCTATGGCATCCTGGTGCTCGGGGGAGGCACCGGTGACGATAGTAACGGCGGACCTCCCCGAGGAGGAGAGGACTGTGCTGGAGCTTTCTGCCTCACAGTCCAGGAGAAGGAGGACAGTCTGAACGAGGAGTGGACGAACGGCGATGCTCATTTAGTACGCTTTCAGTGGAGCAAAGTGTCTTCCAAGCTGCTAGGTGGTCGAGGCCATGTGGCGATGAGGCTATGGGGTACGGACACCGTGGTCCGTGTGGGCGGAGGGAAGCAACCATCGCGGCATCCGCTGCCCTGTGCCGTTTGCACCTTGAACTGGTCACACGGCCAAGGACGAATAGACCAAACTGGTCACACGTTGCAGTCCAACCGCACTCCACGAGGAAGCTCTTTCGGTGCTGGTTGTGCGTTGCCGGATGGCTTGGTTTTGGTCTATGGTGGTTGGGCCCCAGCACGTGGCACTTTTTCTGACCTTTGGGCTGGTTGTTTTGATGAGGTCGGCCGGAGTAGTGGCTTTTTCCAGCAGCTGCCACTTCACGAAGCCGTTGAAAGGGATGAAACGGCTTCAGATGATGAGAGCTTCACCTTTGTCCTGCAACGGCTTCTAGGCGAGATGGGGCAACGGGCGGAGTCTGAAGATGAAGGGCAAGAGCTTGAGAATGTGGAGAATGATGAAGATGAGGATGACGAGGATGAGGATGATGAGGGTGATGAATACTTGGATGTCGGCCAGCACGCTGAGGCGTCGTGTTCTGACAAACGCTTTTGCCTTTGCGGACCTTGTAGACACGGTAGGCTTGTATTAGTGGGAGCTTTTAGATTAACCTCAAGTCCTCACAAATAGCCTTTTGGTGCGACGACTCAACTACTTGAGGCTTTATACATCCTTTTCAACGGTGTGGCCTCAAAACTCGGTGGAGAGAGACGGAGAGCACAGCACGTGTGGCGTCTTTTCCGTGCTAGTGGCCATGGCCTCCAGGCCCCGCGACTGGCGCGCGCGCGTCAGGAGCTCCAAGACTTGCTCGACGACCTGGACTCGGTCGACTCCAGACCTTCCGACTGAGGCGACGCACTGGTCGACCTGGGGAGGCGCGGCTTAAGCGTCGACTCACGCGGCGATCGGCGACTCACGCGGCGTTTTGCAGGCGATCCCTGGCAATGGTCGGCCAGGCACATGACAGCCATAATTGGTAGCTAGGCAGCGAGACCAAAACCCTCAAAGAACGCATTCTTCAAAACCCTCAAAGAATTCTTGCATGTTTTCTGCAAAGTGAACGCGTTCTGGTCGGTTTTCAGCGGTAATTTGTGTAGATGCGGTCAAGTGGCTGCCCGCTGGCCACGTGGCCATGCTGTACATAGCGCAAAGCGGATTCTTCACTTGAACCGATTTCCGTTGATCCTTTGCTTTCCTCAGACTTTGGCATGTCTTAGGGAAGGGATGGGGATGGCACACGTCTTAGACCGACCTCGTTTGCTTCACCGAGGTCGCTCTCGGTTGCAATCTGCCGGTCCTGCCGTCCTGTGTCCGCTCGTGCACGATGCGGAGCTTGCGCTTGCTCATTTTGATCCGGCTGGAAATGCAGAGAATGGCATGACACGACGTTTTCGTTGACTCCTTTTGACTCCTTTTTCTCATCTCTCGTTACTTCCTTTTGGCTCAAGAAAGCAAGTGGGCCCAAACACCCTTTGGGCAACAACTCGAGTCTTCTGTGGACTTTGGCGGGCGTCTTCCTTGACCTCGCCCGTTTGCTAAGAAAACCCAGCAAAGCGTTCGTTCGGACGTCACGGCGATCTTCGCTATGACGCCATTCGCGTGGACGGCATCGCAGACCCTCGAGGCTGTCTACAATTCTCTGGCTCCACTATGGGTGGAGCTCTCCTTCCTGTTTTTCTTCTCCATGGGCTTCTTCTATCTCCGTGCCGAAAACTTCCGCAAAGGCAAGAAAGCTCCAAAAGTGAAGCACTTCGAGCCGCAGTTCCGCGCTTCGGTGCCTCGTTGCGAGAGAGAGAGAGAGAGAGAGACGCCGCGTCTGTACCGTGCGTTGATTTCGCGGGGTGTCGTTGGGTCGTGTTTTTTTCTTTCTCATCCATGGAGCTTTGTAGCATCTTATCCCTATAGGCCCTATCTCCCCCTATCTTCCCCCCTTCTTCGAGGTGCGCAAGACCCTGGAGGCCGAGGCGGCCGCGGGCAACGCCCAGAAGCTGCTGGAAGCTTGGCGTGCGGAGCAAGCGAAGGCTCCGACGCCCAAGGACCTTTTGAAACCCGTGGTGCAATCCTTCATCGATGCTGAGCCAGAAGCTCTCATTGATGAGATCATTAACCATTTGACCAATCACAAGGACACTTTGGTGAATTCATGGTCCGCTACGGTGATCTTGGATACGGTGGCTCGTTCCGGCAACGTGGCGGTGATGATGGAGTTGTGGGATGTCTATCAAAAGAGGCTGTGTTTGACTCGCAGCTGTTCCATGTATGAGGTGGTTTTGGGAGGCTTTGCTTCAGCTGGGCATCCTGAAAAAGTCTCCGAGTTTGAAGCTTTGATGAAAAAGGATCGCCTGAAATTGTCCCCACGGGGCCACTCCTTGATCATCAAGGGCTTTTTGAAGAATGGCTTGGTCGATGAGGTCTTGAGGCGCCCGCGCGGTGACCGACGATCGCGCGCGTGCGTTGGTGTGTTCTGCCTTTCCTTTGGGGGGAGCCATGAAGCTTCATGGGAGCCCCTAGTAGCTTCTTGTTCCTAATTAGCAAACATTGCTCCGTTCGTAGTACGGCCAGGAGCCCCGTTCGTAGCGTCCGATCGCTCCTAATAGCTCTGCCTGCCGGCCGTGAGGGTGTGTGAAAACGGGTTTGAACACGTCGACCTCGTCCTAAAAGACCAGGCGCATCGTTGCGATGACCAAGTCGGGACACGTGGTGCCAGCCTTTGCGGTGGCTCAATTTCTCCGTGTGGCTTCGGAGCATGGCCGTGCTGCAGCGATGTACGAGAAGCTCTTGGAGCACGACATCACTCTTGGCACAGAAGCAGTCACCGTGATTTTGGAGGAATGTGTGAAGACACATGATGCAAAGCTGGCAAGGCAAATTGAGAAGAATGCACGCAACGCGAAGGTTCCTTTCAATATGCATGGCTATGATGCCCTGTTGAAAGCCTATGCCGAGGATTGTGATGTGCATGCATTGGACGTCTTCAAAGAGATGCAAGCGGAAGGTCACACGATCAGTGAGGGGCTTTGTGTGGGCTTGTTGGCCCGCTGTGCAGATGGCAAGTTCCTGAGCTTCGCGGAGGAGATCGTGCGCTTTGTACGCGCCGGTGGTGCAGGTGCTGTTTGGGTGCTGTGTGGTGTTTTAAAGACCTTTCTTCTGTGTTTACTTTTCCTTCCTTCTCTTCCTTTCCTTTCTTTTGAATCGCTTTCTTGATCCCCCGCCCCATTGCCAGCATGTAGGTGCTGGAATGAGCATCGCAGTCTACAGCGGCTTGATGAAAGTCTATGCCTATAGTGGAATGTATGGTAAGGCATGTGATTTGTACGATCAGATTCGCGCAGATGGACTGGAACCTGATACCATGATGTACGGCTGCCTCATGAAGTTCTCGGTGGAATGTGGACGGACTGCCTTGTCGCAAGAACTTTCAGAGAAGCTCTCCGTCTTGGACATCCAGAACCTCAGCCTTAGCTGTGTTTTTTAAAGCCCAATCAGCCATCAGGAGTCAAGTCTAAGTCTAACGAAACATTGAGTGTGTTCCTTTTTTGACTCATTTCCATCAAGCATCTGGAGAGACAAATCACATCCGTGGACAATTTCGAGAATCGTTTCTCGTTTCCTGATGTTCTCGGACGCCTGCTCAGGAACTATATGTCCCTCATCAAGGCAGCCGGGCGGGACCGAGATGTTGACCGAGCATTCTCCATCATCCAGCGCTTGAGGGAGAACAACGTGACTTGGCACCCTCTCTGTGGGCTACGTGAGGAAGTTTGGACACATGATGTGGCAAGCCATGACCGCTGACATTTGGCACCCAAACAGCATAGCCATGTCATTCAGAAGTGCTAGCAGCTGCTAGCAGTGTCGCATTCTTCTATCGCCACTGCTTACATGGTCTTTGGTGCCGAGTCACACCTCCTTACAGCGTCATACATCCAAGTTGAGACACAGGGCACATAGGGCTAATAGGCTAGGGTAATAGCTAGGCACATGGCGCCCTCACACGGGACACAAGCTCCCACTCCTGGCCCGATGGCAAAGAGTGAAGTTGACCGTGAAGGACTTCTCTCGATTGCTGCGCCCGTTCCAGGTGAGTCAAGACGCAACTCGATTGACCTGGTATCGAATCGTCGACACATCCGAGTCGCCATTCGGTGCTGTTAACGAGATCACTTGTTCTTACTTGGTCTTCTGAACATCCGAACAGTGGGCATTCCTTGGAGGCCATACCTACAAGAGCACCAGCTGAGGTTCATCCGTTCAGAAAGTGAAGACGAGCATTTTCAAGTGTGAGCAGCCTGAGCATGTGAGTGAGAAACGCCTCGAGCAGCTGCCGAAGGATCTTCAGAAAGTACCTCAGAGCTGGACGAAGGAACGAAAGCTGGAAGCTCGGGCAGGTGCAGGCGGCGCAGGCCAACCCAAGTCGGGCTTTCATGCTCCCTTGAGGGCACGCCCTGAAGTGGACACCCTACGTGTCTCGATGGACAACGCCCCGTCCATTCTGGCAGACTTTGCTCGGAATGCGAAGCACGTCCTTCGGAAAGAAGCGAAGAGTGCAATGCCTCACGGGACGTTCCCGCGTGAAGCCAACCGACTGGGCACACCAGTGCCAGTTGGCCGGGCCTGTCGCCGAATGTAGGGCGTGGAATCGAACCGTGGTCTTGAACAGCCAAGCGCTGCTCCAGCCGTTGAGGTCGTTTAGGTAGTTTTAGCTTCATGTAGGTTAGTTAGCTTGCGACAAAGCCGCTCGGACAAAAGACTTCGAAGATCTTGGGCCTTTTCTTCGAATCTATGAGCCTTGGAAGCTAAGGAGAGAATCTATATAAGATCTAAGAATCTAAGATAGATCTCCCTGATTTTTCGTTGGACTGAGGTGAAGCCTGATGCTATTGCCTTCAATTGTGTCCTCGATGTTTGCGTGAAAGCTGGCGATCTCAAACGTGCCAGACAGCTTGTCCAGGAGATGCAGGACATGGCGTGCAGGTTTTGGCATTTGACTTCTTAAGCAAAGGACCAGACGAACCGTGATGAATAGTGACGAACCGTGGTAGTGATGAGCTTCACGAGAGCGTGTGTGGAACGATTGTGTTCTGGATCTCGTCCAGCTAATTTCACGTCACAGAACTCCGCGGTCCATGAGGCTGTGACAGTACTCTACATGGGAAATAGCTGCACTACCTCACCCTAAGTCACGCGTGCACACAGGACCTTTGGTCACATCATTCACATTGCTCGAAGTCGCGCGCCCACCGACACTGTTCTACCAACATCCTCGGGCTGTAGTTGGTAGCCTGGTAGCCTATCTGAGCTTTCAAGCATCGCATTTCCCACATGTTCACGATGCATTTGTCTGGCCAAACCTCTACCCATCGAACACCTAGCGGACCTAGCTCAGCGCATCCTCAAGCTGCAGGATCTTTCATCGTTTCTAGGTGGTTCGAGTCGTGGCATGTCCGTGGCTTCGCACGTCGCATTCGATCAGGACCTTGAGCTGCTCGTGACTTGGCAGTTGGGCGTTGGATAGAACAGGTGCAACCGCTTCGCCTCGCCTTCTTCGCGGCGGGTTTCGTCTTCGTGTCCGCTTGTCCGTGTGTTCTTCGTGCACGGCCTTAGGACATCATCACGTACAACACGCTCTTGAAAGGATACTGCAGCAAAGGGGACATCAAGGGTGCCAAGGACCGAATTAGACCTGGCAGCCTGAGGGGGCCTAGAGCAACCTCTTTCTCTTTCATTTTGTACAGCTCATGCGTCAGCTAGACTTGACTGTGCAGAGACTAAGTTCGCCGTCCCATCCCTCACCGCAGCTTCCACTAGCTAGAGTCTAGCCGCTAGCCTTTGGGATGTTCCACTCTTTCATTGGCTTCATTGTCATCAGCTTCTGATCAAACAAAGTATCCACTCCAAAGATTGCAAGCTGCAAAGGATCTTTTGACGGAGATGTCCACCGCTGGCTATGAGCCAAATGACGTCTCATACAACTGCCTCTCAGTTTGCGAGATGCTTTGAACATTTTTGGTCCTTTGATTCGCTCCAACCTAATAGCGATGGCTTCCAAGCTGGTTGCGAGATGTTGCTTTGAACTTAATTGCTCTTTCAATTCGCTCTGTTAGAGTGCTCCGAGTATGACCAAGCTGCTGTGAGGTATCCTAAATGCAGCTGTGAACAGTGGCAACTTTGAAGATGCATGGGACACCATTGCCAAAATGGAGCTTTCAGCTGCAAGAAGACTACTAGTAACAAGGACGTTACTAGGGCTAGGGGCTCCTGGCCATACTACTAGTAACAAGGACGCTACTAGGGACCGAACATCCCAAAGTGTGACAGGGGTTTTCGTGTATCAGTGATGGCCCGCCTCAAATCGAGGAGCAAATGAATGTGAAGCCTGACCACTACACAGTCGCTCGAATGGCCTATGGCATTCATTTGAGTAAAAGCAAACAAGGGCATCGCTACTAGGAGCAAGGACGCTACTAGGGGCTCCTGGCCGTACTACTAGGAGCAAGGACGCTACTAGAAACAAAGGGCATCGCTACTAGGAGCAATGTTTTAGACCGACCTCGAGTGCCGGTAAGGTCTCCATCATGCTGAAGGCCCTGAAGCGAGCCAAGGGTGCCAAGGACGTTCCTTTTCGCCAAAGAAGCGCCTTTTACTTTTTTCGAACCAACCATGGGCCGTTTCAAGGTCGTGTTTTCTTCTGTTTTAGTCTTTCTTTAAACTTTAAGAACTTCCTTTCTCCACTCGGCCATTGAATGGCCGAAAAAACCGAGCTTCTGAGGTGAACCGCTGCTTGAGCTTCTTGGATCGCTCCAGCATTGACCCGTGCTCCGACGAGATTCTGATGAACACCGCCCCTCGGTGTTGGAAAGCGAAAGAACACAAAACACAGAGATGGCCAAACACGGCCTAATAGCAAAAGGAAGCTACTAACTCCACCCTACTAGCGATGGCCTCCAACCTACGAAAGAACACAAAGGCGCTTGGACGGAGCAAGTTTCGGGCAAACTCTGTTACTCTCTCCTCAAGTTCGCTCACTTTCATCCCAACAACGCGATACGTCGCAGCAAGGTGCTGGAGACTTACATCCGCCACAAGGAACACAGGCGGACCATGGCGGACCATGGCAGAACATGATGTTGCACGTTCTGTGGAAATCGATGGGTGCACTTGAGAGAGCATCGCAGAATATCAGATAGCCTGTCTAAGAGCTGGGGGGAGTGTATTGTTTCGAAATCTTGAAATCACATTTAAAAAACACCTGCCTCAATGCCTTCGCACGTTGAAAAGTCCAGGCGCCTGGAAAGTCTCCTCAACAAGTTTGCCTCTTGGCACGGTGCTTTTAGGACATGCCGTGCACGGTGCCGTGGGACATGCCGTGCCCCCATGCCGTGCCTGAGCCAAGGAGCAGTCCAGTTTGCGGCCTTCAGTCCCCACGTATGGATCCATCATCAAGGCATATGCCAATTTGAAGCGCCCAGACAAGTGCTGGCATTTCTGGAATGACGCTTGGCTTACAAACAAAAAGGGCTCGGGCGCCCAAAACGCTCCGGAATTCGGCTCCATGTGTGAGGAGTTGTGATCCCTTCGAAAGAGACGGTTCCTTCTGAGGAGATGCAGGGTCAGCGTGGCTTGGAGCCCAATGACATCGTCTTTGGCTGCATGTTGGATGCTCTCGTTTGCAACGGACAAGTGGATGAAGCTGTGAAGCTTTTTGACGCTTGAAATGCAAGAATCGGATCGATAAGGACCCTGGTGCTGTGGTGTAGTGTGGGGCTTGTAGACTTGTAGAATGTTCTGATTGGACTTGGGCATGTTGCTGCACACAAAAGGACACAGCCACAAATCTAATTTCTGTGACTAGTTTGTACCGGAGAACCCAAAAGCCAAAACCACTCGTTGTCCCGCGAAACGAAAGATGTGATTTGAGGAGAGTAGCAACTTGAAGCCCAATGCCGTTTTGTGCTCCATTCTGGTCAAGGGCTTCACCACCACTGGACAAACGCAAAAAGCCATGTCTCTTTGGCACGAGATGCGTCAGAAGGGTGTGAAGATGAACACAGCAGCTTGCAATGCCTTCGTTGATGCCCAAGCACGTGTGGGGAACATGGATGAAGTGTTGTTGATTGTGGAGGCTATGGCTGAAGATGGTTGCAAACCAGATGGTATCACCCACTCCACCATCGTGAAGGGCTATGCAGTGAAAGGTGATCTTGATAAGGCCATGGAAGTCTTGCGCAGCATGCAAGAGAGTGGCGTTTATCACGATGCCATCGTCTACAACACCATCCTGGATGGCTGCACCAAGCACAAGAGAGCCGACTTGGTGGACCCCATTCTCGAGAGCATGGAAGCACACAAAATCGCACCAACGAACTTTACCTTGGGTATCCTGGTGAAGTTCTACAGCCGCCAGAAGCAGCTGGACAAGGCCTTCTCTTGCATGAGCACACTGCCGAAGCGTGGGAATTTCGTGCCCAATTGCCAAGTCTGGTCTTGCTTGATGGGTGCCTGCTTGATGAACGGAAGCCCATCGAAAGCTCTCCAAGTCTTCACCAACATGCGTGCTGCAGGTCAGAGTGCCGACACTCGAGCCTGCACTTCGTTGGTCTCCGGTCTGGTGCGCATGGGCCAACTGAGGAATGCCGTCCAAGTGGTCGACGAAGTCTTTGGCCTCAACGGTACCACACGAATGGGTCACGGCGTCACCATCGAGCAGGACGCCGGAAGCGCGGACGGCGGATCCGCGGGTTGGTTGCGCGAGGGGTTGGCGCGATCCGCGGCTCTCTACGAGGAAAGCTGGACGCAGAATAGCTCACACAGAACATCAGTTAACTCCTGGAGTCTTTTAGGGAAACGATCAAACAACACAGAGGTCAATCCTCAGTTTCGGACAACACAGAAATCAGTAGGTCATGGCCTAGTTGTTCGAGTACAAAGACAGGCTCTTAGGTAGAGTCTTCGGGCTTTGGAGTCATGCCCTGCTTCACTGCGTTTCTGTTGGCCAGATCATTGTCTTTTATGTTTTTACTGTATATGTATTATTTCTTTTACGCCAGTTTTGTTGCTTCTTTCTTGACACCTTTAGACCGTGTCTTTCTTCCCCTTTTTTCTTGCTTCCCTGCCCTTCCCTTTCCTTTCAACTCATTCCTTGTCTTAGCAAGTATTCTTTCAAGGTCTTTATCATGTCGTCTTAGCACTAGGTGTAGACTCTACAACTACCCTTGCGTTCTTCTCAGATGCGTTCTTCTTAGTTCTTTGCAGTTACCTTTTTTGGAAGCCTTTTTCTTATGGTCTCAATGGCTCTTCTTTGTTTTCGAACAACACTTCGGTTCGTTTGAGCTGTTTCGTGCAGGATTGCTTGGAGAGTTTGCTGGCTGCCCTGGTGCACAAGGGATTGCGTGAAGAGATGGCCGCACCTCTCTTGGAGCGGCTTCGTGCTGCGCAGGTTCCCATCAGCGGACGTTTGATGGTGGCGACCCTCGGTGATGCGTCGCCGGATCGTCCCGAGCATCGTCGCTCCAAGCACGAGCGTTGACGACGTGGGTCCGAAAGTCAGCGCCACTTGGAGGCGAAGCTCTCACATCTAAGGCACCTCTTGAGGCATCGACCTACTGTTTTTGCTATCTAATCAGTTATATCATATCTATAAGTTTATAAGACTAAATGCTGGAACTGAAAGGGCCAAGCGCTTGCTAGCAGGACAACACCAGACAGATCGCCGCCGCTGTGAGGCGACGATATGCCGCACGATGTGTCTGGGCCACTGGTAAAGTGTGGACAGGGCGGGGGGCCTCAGTCCCGCACAGACAGCACTGTCTTAGCACGGTGCGTCCGCACTCCAAGCAAGAACGCTTCAGAAAGGAAACGGAAGGAAGGAACCCTCCTCCCACCCACCGGGGAACAGTTTCTTCTGCAAACCAGCGCCCTTCTGCGTCAAAAGCTGTGACTTCTTCTGGCCGACTCGCCTACTGGACGATTCGGAGGTGTCCCTGAGAGAGCTCGGCGTGAGCAGAGTTGACACAGACCAAGGATACAACAGACAGCTTTTGACACATCACAGGGTCACAGGAGTAGGTGCAGTAGGTGCCTTTGCATTTGCACCTGCCCGTGGTATTCCTGCAGGACGTGTTCTCGCTTGACGTACCGCAGTGTCGAGGCAGTCTGTTCAACTGCTGCCCTCGCCCGGTCTTGGGTAGCCAAGGAATCGCAAACAAGGCCAGCTACCAAACGCGTCAAGCACCTGCAAGGCGCAAACGCAAGCGGCGAACGCATGCACCGTCTCAGCCAAGATGCGTTCGGCGCGTCCCTGCGCGAAGTAGGACCAAGCTCCCAGGGAGCCGACTCAGCCATGCTAAGTCCGCCTGAACTGGCCCATCTCAAAAACAAAGACAAAGAAAGGGCTGAACTAGAATACATAGAAGGGAACTTCTACAGAGTCTTTAGTTCTTCAGTAGGACATTCAGAGTCGGACCGTGCAGAGCCAGCCACGTCCCAAGGCACATGATTCCGGCAGCGTTTCCTTTGCGCCGGGCGGGGTAGGCCGATGACAACCTGGCCTTTTTGAGATGCATTGTGTTCCATGTCCTCAACTGTAGCGTTGGTTTGACATGTGACCCTGACGATAGGCAGCCAACACCGACAACACCTGATTCGTGTTGGTCTGCTGCACTGAGCCATGGAGAAACAGGACCAAAAAAAAGCGTTTGCGATCATTGGAAGCTTCAACGCGTCGTCCAAGGAGTGAGCAACTACAGACTTTTTGTCAGGGGAACGATTCACGATTCCAACGCAGAGGGGGACAATGCTTGGAACTGATGTTGAGGGGGATATATGTCGTTGGGAGCGGAAGCGCTTCCAACGATGCTTTTGGTTTGGCCAGGTGCTTCGCTTCCGCTCCAAAGGCAACATCCAAGGCGGGGCGTCGTGCCGGCTTTCGAAGAACACGGGCACTCCAGGTTCAGCTGGTGTGATTCACCAGCTTCACGAGCTTTGAGGTGATTCTGAGACCCCGTTCCGGAACGCCGAGGGCGAAAGACCATGGAGAGAGCACACGGAGCCCCCAGAGTTCTCACGCTCCCGAACACCGCCGATGGCTCCGCGACTCGTTGGACGTTGGCCTGTGACCTCTGCGAGCTCTTCACGTTGCTCGTCCGAGCCCCAGGACGGCCAGGTCGGGCGAGCGGGTTGGGGCGTAGCGTCTCGCCACGGTGTCCCGAGGCTCTTCACAGTGAGGCCACCTCCTCGGCCGTGGACCTGGCGTGCCAGCTCTTGAATACGCCGGGGGCCCCTGACACGAAATGGCGTTGAGCTCGCCATCCCGCACCTCTTCCACTCGTCAATTCCACTTGTTACACCAAAATGCTGGAGTTCCGGAGCACGGCGCCCGGCCCTTCGCCATGTGGAAGGACAGCCGCCGTGCTCCGGCAATGCGTCCAGTTCCTTCGACAAGGGCTCCAGCGCCCGACCAGGCGTGGCGCTGTGTTTGTATTCCGAAGCCCAACCGAACTGACACCGCCGACACATGGGGTCCTCGAGGCTGACGAAGGATTGGACGTTGGGACTCTCAGCTTCAACGCACATGGCCTCGTAGAGGCGTTCAACCTCGAACAACGACATGTCGAAAGGTTCAAAAACCATTTGGCAGCGACGCAGAAGCCATGGCCGGTTGGAGGCCATTGCTGTAACGACAAAGAGGCTATTTTGTCACATGGATTTGTCACGAAGTCGCTGGACAAAGGTCAACCTCGTGCGTGGAGACTCTCAAGTGCAATGCCTTCACAGCATGGACTGCTGACAAGGCACGACAGTCTTCTGATTCCCTGCCCTTTGTGTACTTTCACACACTTTCTATCTGAATTCTTAGACATTCTTGGCAGTTCCAACCTAGCAATGGCCTCCAACCTAAAAGAGATGGCCCTCTCTGCCCTTTGCGTATACTTTCTATTTTCCTTTTGAATTCTGGACATTCTGGGCCTGCAGGTTCTGGGCCTGCAGCAGGCGATGGGCTTGGAAGTGAGCACCAGCCTTCAGGACGAGGAAGTGAACAGATTGGGTGGGAGGCCATTGCTAATCCGAATCGGATATCGAAGGAATTGAAAAACAACGGAGGAGAGGGAAGAGACGGAGCAGAAGGGCCTGAAGGACCAGCAAGACTGCTCAGCCCGTGCCTCAGGCTGTGAAACCGAAGGAGGGCACACACACACACAGCTTGCGGTCGACCAGGTCGTGGCGTCTTCGAAGACGGCTCTCGTCTCCGACCCTCTAGAGCCCCATTGCCTGGAGGATTCTGATGATGATTATCGGGATCTGGCGAAGATTCGGGTGATGGCGGCCGTGTTTACTGGCCGCGGAGACCGGATGCAAGTGCTGTTGCCATACTTGCGCCGGGATCTGAAAGTGCACAGAGGCGTCATTGATGGCATCGTGTTCTTGTTGATCCGCCCGGATGCCTTTGCTTTGGACTTGGTTCAGCAGATGAGGGCAATCTATGGCGACATTGTGCTGATTCGAGACTATCAAGAGAGCACTTGGTCCACGAGGGGAGTAGAGGGCCGAATGGGCTCTCTGTACAGATCTTTGAATGAGACTGGCACTGTTTACATCAAGGCCGGTTCCAGGTTTCCGATGTTTTTTTTGATTGGATTTGTATGGAAACTTGTTGGGTGAGAGAGACCAACGGCAGATCGACGATGATGTCGTCTTCTTGGCCAAGCATGCGCTGGCGGAACTGGTGCGGGAGAAGCTGCGACGCCGTTGCCTTTTCGTGTCCGCCAATGTGCCTTGGATGGGAAGCCAGAGCCGTGTTCGGAAACGTGGCGGGTCCGGTACCAAGACCTTCCGCCGATCCTCGGGGCTCGCAGCACCCCACCCCTGGGGAGTCCGCCCAGGGCCCTGAGTACCAAAAAGCAGAAGCGTCGGACCACCCCCTAAGGGCCTAAAGGCCTTTTTAGGCCCTTTAGGCCTGGTACCGAGCCGAAACTTGGAAGGAGACATCTGAGACATCATCTGTTTTCTTTTTTTTTCTTCTCCGTTCGACAAAAGACCCTCTTTGGGCCGCTTCCTGTCCACCTCAGGTCGTGAACCATGCCATCCTGTCTTCCGTTCATCAAGAACGTGGGGCCCACCGTGCCTTTCAGCGGGAGCACCGAAGGTGGTTTCGAAGCTGGGCTCCCGAAGGGTTTTCGTCCTTTCATAAGTCGTATTAGAAAGTCGGTAGTCTGTTGTTACGGTAGTCTGTTGTGAACCTCAGTCTTCCGCAAGGGCTTGCCTGAAACTTCAGGAGTGGGCGATGTGAACATGGATTCGTCTTATATCTTTGAGCGTCATCCCATGGGCTCCTGTGTCTTCAAACGCTGGGACTGCGCAGCGTTGGTGCACGAAAGCCGCTTGGCACTCGACTTCGTCCGACTTCAAGACGAGCACGCCAAGCACCTGCAAAGCACCTGCCAAGCCTCCAACCTACTGGAGATCGCCTCCAACCTAGATGGCCTCCAACCTTCTAGCGATGGCCTCCAACCGACTAGCGAGGCCTCCAACCTTCTAGCGATGGCCTCCAACCTACTAGCAAAGGCCTCCAACCTAAGAGCGAGCGCCTCCAACCATTTAGCTATGGCCTCCAACCTACACCTGCAAACTGGACTTGTCGAGGCTTTCTGGACAGAGAGAGCGATGGGACTCTATGCGCTTTTGATTTTGGCTGGTATGACTTCCACAGGCCGAGCGCTCTTCACAGCATAGGGCATGTTGTGAGTTTAGATACGTCCACGCGCAGGGCAGGCTTCCGAGAGCATCAATACATCCATGCCTCTCCGTGGATTGGTGCAACTTGGCGCGCAGCTGGAGCAAGGTGGAGCATCAATTTGCTCCTCAGATGGAACATGAACATGATGGGAACATTGAGTTCGAGGCTTCCTTCGAAGCCGATTCGAGCGCCGATTCGTGACCAAGGTTTGCCTTTGAGGCATCGGATTTACGCGACATGGAGACTCGGTCAAACACGATCCGGGCGGATGGAAAGAACCATCTCTAAAAAGCCGGTCACCGATATCTTCTTCTTTCTCCTTTCGGGTTTTACTGGTTCGTACAAGTAAGGAAGGAACAGAAAGAGAAAGAGAAAGGTCTGACCTCAAGACAACGGAAACAACATTGAAAAGAAAGGAAACGCCAAAGAACAGATAGAAACGCAGAGCGGATAGAAGACTGTCAGGACTGGTCTCGTGTTCATGGTCCTGGTGACGACGAGGAAGAGTTCAGTAGCAACCATGCAGAACGGAGAGGGCAGCACGCGTGCGCCATTGGGAGGAGTATCGCAGTGCACTTCTCTTACAACGTGTGCCTTTGGCATGAAGACTTTCATTTCAAATCCACTGAAGCTGAGTGTAATGTAGGAGCTGCTTCGCACAGCAAGCCCTTTTGAGGTGAAGTGGGGGGAAGTTTCCGAACTCGTGTGCTTCCTTGCATTCTACTGGCTTACTAGCTCTACGTTTGCTGTAAGACTTGTCTTAGCTAAGCTACCTTACATAGTCCTTCTCTTTGCGGCCCCCTCGAAAGAGAAGGAGAGAAGGATCCCGGATACCGTTCACATGACCACTTGGTCCTCCGGTCCAGTTTGACCTCACTAAGGCAGGAAGGGCGGCTCTTGAGCTCCGACTTGCTGCAGCGCTACGCCGACTTGGCGAAGCGAAGGGTCGGCCAGTTCCTGTTGAGACCGAGCGAAGACAAAGAGAAAATGAGACGTCGTGAGACCCGTTTCAGACAGTAACAAGAAGCTACTAGGAACAAGTGCATCGCTACTAGTAACAAGTGCCTTACTAGTAGTAACAAGAAGCTATTAGTAACAAGAAACAATTAGAATTAAATCGAATTCTAATTAAACTCAATTACTACGAGCTTCTTGTTACTACTAGTATGGCACTTGTTACTAGAAGCGATGCACTTGTTACTAGTAGCTTATTGTTTACCCATTTCAGACGAGCGGCACATTTTTCAAGATGATCATCGAATCATGTGCTGGTTGTCGACGCTCTGCTGTTTTCCTTGACGCTGCGCTCCAAATCTGAGTCCGGCTCCCACAGATTAAGCAAGGGATCATTGAATTCCAACTTGGAACTCCAGTCTTATGACTTTCTTCTTCCGGATACTTCTGATTTTGACTCTTTGTTGCGACGGATGCTGCATTCTACCACTTAGTAAGACTTAGAACGTGTGTTTTTGGCAACGTGACATCTCACTAGTCTCACCAGTCTCACTTAACTCACACTCTTCCATGTTCCAAAGGTGGTCTTCCCTCTTCCCTCATGCGGTTGGTGCCATGGACACTTTGGCCAGTCGGAGTTGTCGGGCTGGAAAGCCTCCTGGCTTGGGCGAGCGCTTCCAACGGCGCCATCCAGGAGTGGCACGAAAGCCTGGCCGACGAGACAGCAGCCCTACAAGACGTCTCGTCCGATGTCTGTTGGCACGCGGGCTTTACCAAAGAACGCTGTTGTCGTGGTGACCCAACGACCTCACCCGATTGCTGGGACGGAAGCTATAGCTTTGGGGAGTGCTGTCCCAATGCAGATTGCTGGATTGGGAGCTTCACCTACGAGTTCTGCTGTGGGGAGAAGCATGGCCTTGGCGGCAACAAGGCGTGTTGGAGTGGAGGCTTTACCCACCAGCTGTGCTGCTTGGCGAACGCCACGTCCAATAGCTGGGCGGATATTTTATCCTCGGAAATCGAGACGGAACAGTTTTACCAGATGGATGACTTCTACACAGATGCGCAGTATGGCGACGAGTGGGGCTACTACTCCAAGGGGCATGTGTTGCTTGGAGGTGGGAAAGGTCAAGATGGCACTGAGCAAACTCAGCAGTTTGCGCATTTCACCACTTATCCCATGGCTTTGTCTCCCCATTTTGCCCGTGTCTTTTGCCGTTTGCTTTTCATTATGTGGGCTGGAAGCTCAGTTCGTTTCATGCTCTCTCTGACCGCTCTGCTGATTTCACACGGAACCTGCGGCTCCGAACCGACGACTGAGGTCCAGTTGGACGAGCGCGCGCCGTTCCGTGTGGTGGAGATGGGTGCAGGCGAACGGTCCGGACTGTTTCTGGGTTTGGAGGCTGCGCTATGGGCGCCTTTGTGAGAGCGCTGTGTAAGATTGGCTATCATGTGATAGCCAAAGGTTCCCGCACCCAACGCAGGTCGTTTGGAACATGGTGCCCTTTGACGAGGGGTGTGACACTGTGAGGCTCTGGGCAGCTGGCCTATGACACCCAGCAGTGTGTTCGCAGCAATGCGTTGGGCTTGGCACCAGCTTTGTGGCGACGATGGGCTGCAGCCTTTGAGCAGCTCAGTCAGCTCCGTTTTCAGTCAGCTCCGCTCTTCAAAGATGATGTTGGTGTTGTTGTTTCCTCTTTGTCTCCCCGTGGCCGTGCCTGAAGAACGTTTTTCACTGGGCACGTCTTCACTACTGTTCCCTCCATTGGCAGCTTGAAAACGCTGTGTTTCTCGGTGAGGTATACCATCATGGAGAGGCGCCTTCCGCGGCGCGGTGCCACGTCGGTTCCGTGGCGGTCCAGCACCGTCACGTCGGTCGGCTCTCGGTCGAAGATGAGTGGAGCGGTGGTAGGTGGCGCTGAACTAAAAGCATCGATGGCCTCCAACCCAATAGCGTCCTTGCTACAAGTAACTAGTAGCAACTAGTAGTAATGCCAGGAGCTACGTTCGTAGCGTTCTTGCTACGAACGTAGCGATGCCCTTGTGACTCAGAGCGATGGCCTCCAACCTCCATGTCGCTTGGCACAGGTCGCCTGCGCTGCGAAAGCGCCAGCAATCCAGAGGGCTGCGGTCCGTGGCAGGAGATGCGCAAACCACCGCCAGCAGCTAAGTGAAGTGGCTCTTGTGTTCAACTGAGGGAAGAAAAGGTCTAGCGAAAGAGTCCAAACGAAAAATGTGTTAACAAAAAAGAATGAACTAGAAAGAACGGTCTCAAGGAAAAAGACAAAACAGGTCTTAAGTCTAAAGATGTAAAGAAAACGAATGGACTGCGGTCTTGAAGAAATACATAACATATGAAATCTGCCGTAGGTGAGATGACTTGCACGAAGAACTCCGACGGCCACGGGCTCAAATAAGCTCCTCTCGTGCGGCTGATGGCCGTGTGTGCCAAGTGTCGTCGGTGCCTGCCCAGCGCCGGTGACACTTGGTGCTTGGGGTGCAGTGGGTGGGAAGCCCTAGGTGCGGAGTTGGGATTCGCGTGGTCCCATCCAGGTCTCCGTGTGGTGGCCCACGATATCGTGGTCAGCGCGGTCAGGCAGATTCGTGCTCTCCGAGTGACCCGAGCTGTCGTGCCTGGCTCTCAGGCTGCCAGAGGGTCCGAGAGGCCGAGAACTCCTGAGAGGGGACCCCGGGCTGGAACACAACCCGAGCCCAGGGAACCTAGGGCTCCCACTTTACCTCGATCGCGTGTTGAGGCTGACGAGCACTTGGAGGAGAAGCAGAGGCGTGAGGAGGAGAGCTCCTACCTTTCAGAGGAGGAAGATTCTGGGGCTGTGTCTGAGGCGACCATCATCCAAGACAAGGCCAAGATCATATCAGCCGAAGGACTGTCAGCCAAAGCTGCACCAGCCCCCGAGTCAGCCGTGAAGAGCGAGGAGATCGAGATTGAGGAGAAGAAGGAAAGTGCAGGAAACGAGGCTGGTCCAGAGACCGTGCCTGAAGTTGGTGAGAGAGCAACATCTTCGAAGGGACCCAGACCTCAAGAACGTCATCAACGTCGACATCGACGAGGCCGCGAAGGTCAGCGGAAGGAGAAAAAGAAAAGGAAGCGAGACCCTACACACAGGGCAGGACGGAAGCACCCGAGGTTGTACCGGGCAGACGCCAACCCTTTTGCCAAGGTTCATCGCAGGTTGGATAGCTCGTATTTGGACTTTGATCCAAATGCCCCAGCAGAAGAAGCTATTCCTGGCTCGCCACCCCGTGCCAAGCATCAATGACGGCGGAAGGGGAAGAGCCGGAGCGGCTTACAGAGGGCGGAGTTTTTGGCACCTACGATGTCAGGGACTTCGAAAGACGGCACTTGTGGTCTCCTCTGCCAGGCCGTGTCATTTTGACCAGCGTGCCAGGCTGGGAGGTTGGAAGAGAGGATGGCAAAGGCTTTCTCGTTGTGCTGGGTCAAACCCTTGCATACGATGGGAGCTTTTTGGTATAAGTGAGAATAATGGGCGCCGGTCGAGACGGTGCTTTGCATGCACTCTCAGGTTGGTTCTATCGCCGCGCTGGTGCTCGTCGCATTTGTCTGAACGAGGGGCCGTGCGTGGTGGAAGGCGGTGTTTTCCGGGTGCGTCAGCGGGAAGTTCGGGATGGACCCGAATTTCCGGCTCACTGCCTTTCAGAATTTGGACGCGAGATGTTGAAGCAACTCCAGGGCTCAGGAGGAGCAACACGGGATGCAAGTCCCCCTACCGAGGAGATGGAGGAGGACGATGCAAAGCCTGTGGAAAGACTTTGTGCCGAGGAGGTCGTGGCCACAGGGTCGACCAAGCGGAAGCGAGAGCGTGTGAGCGTAGGGTGCTTAAGTGCCCCTGCCTCCGCTCGCTTGGCGGCGGTAAGGCTGCCAGTTGTGATGAATGGCCACGCCGAGCCTGGGTCCCTACGGGGCCGGCTGGTAAGGCTGCAGCAAAGGCAACAGTGTTTGGGGCCTGGTCGACGGGCCGAGATAGGTGGCGACCCACCGGAACCAGGGGAGGTTTTCGATGCCGACCCTGCTCAGGACCAGTTGAGGACTGGTGCGAAGATTGGGACTATGAGGACCCTGGCTGGCGCTCGCCGAGCGGGGGTCGATGCGGAGTCAAGAGGACAAAAAGAAGATATTATGAGGAGCTTGAGGAGGACTCCACTGAAAAAGGGGTTTATAACCACTCTGGCCTCTTCGGTGGCAGTAGCGGAACCTCAGCGACAGAGAAACGTGATGAATAAAGAGAAACACGCTGCCAAGAAAGCACTAAGGAGGTTTTGAAGGAAAATGGGCAAGGACGCCGCGGAGGACCCCGTCCCAAGAAGAAAGTCACAGGAAGGAAAAGGAGGTCATGGCTGGTGGCAATCCGTGCCGTGGCAAGGAAGACAAAAGAAAGGGAAAGGAGGAAAGGACTCAAAAGGAGACGCGTGAAACCAGTGGAAAGGCAGAGGCGCCTGGAGGCCGCGGAGGATCTCGGCCTGGGAGAGGCCAGAGGGCCAGACGAGAGAAAACCCCAAGAGGAGAAACACGGAAAAGGAGGAGTGAAGATGGCTCCCTCAAAGACGTCGACTATAGCACAGTGGCTGACTTCGGCTGGCTGCATGGCCGAGCTGGGAGTTGGGCTGTATTTTCAATTCTTCGTCAACCAGGAGGCCGATGAGAGCCGCCTGATGCACAGTTTCCGAGCAATAGCCTCACTGAAAAAAGGGAGTTCATTTGTGTGCCAGCTATCACGAGTGCTACACTCTAAGCGACAAGTTTTTCCGTTGCCGTTGTTTTCTTTCCCCGATTTGGCCTCCTCTTTTAACCCCTGTGATGTTCAGGCTTTTGTGTCGGCCTCTGCAGACCCCTTGGAACGAGCAGTCCAATGTTGGTGTGAGCTGGTCGTGCTGTTCGCTAACAACCTCGCTTTAGGTAAGGTGTGTGTGTCGGGGTCCAGGGCCACGGCTGCGCAGCGGGACCTGATGCAAGCGATCAAGCAGTCCGTGACCAGGATGTTGAAAGATGACTGCAAGGTAGTATGGGGTATTGATGAAATCAGGGATGATTTCCAGAAGCGGTCTGTGTCTTACACTGGAGAGGAAATTTGCAAAGCCGAGGCCCTGAGCCTAAGTAGAATTCAACCAGGACTCCCGCCAGAGGGGCATGGTGCTTCCGTGTCAACAGTTGAATGGGTAGGGGGAAGGACCCGGGAGCTGCTGTTGGATCCTTTTGGCTGTCTCAATCCCGACGTAGGCCAACCCCTACCAAAACTTCAGAGCAAGGTGCACATTGTCGCTGAAGAGCGACTGGAGGTGGCTCAGGAGCTGGTGCGGCGAGGAATTTGCCGTTGGACTCATGCGTCACAAGTTGCGGTGTATCGTGGCGAGCGCATCCTGAACGGAATGTTTGGAGTAGCTAAATCTAAGCTAACTGCAAAAGGGGAGACGGTTCTTCGAGTGATCATGAACCTGGTCCCGGTGAATTCCGTGCTCCGTGTCATTCCGGGCAGAGTGGCTAAACTTCCAAATATTGCACAGTGGCTCAATGTGGTGCTGGACGACAATGAGACCGTGCGTATCGCCCAGTCTGACATGGCATGTGCTTTCTACTTGTTTGAGATGCCGTTGGAATGGAGCCGCCTGTTGTGCTTCAATCTAGGGTTTGACTCTGCTACGTTAGGTTTGGAGGCCCTTGACGCTCAGGAAGACTTGTGGTACTTGTCTTGTTGTGTGCTCCCCATGGGCTGGAGCTCAGCAGTGGGAATTATGCAAGAAATTGCTGAAGCTGTCCTGCTTTCGGGGGGCCTGAGTGCAGAGTCCCAGACCCACAAAACTGCGGTATTGCCTAGCTGGATTGTCAATAGCAAAGCTGAAGGTTCTCTTTGTGGTAAACCCTGGTGGCACGTGTACCTGGACAACTTTGCTGGGGGAGCTAAGGTAACTGACGGCGACTGTGAGGAGCTGATTAGGTTACAAAAGCATGCTGAACTTCTCTGGAGTGAAGCAGGCATTGTAGTCTCCCCTGGGAAGTCCGTGGTGGCCGCCGAGAGTGGTGTTGAATTGGGCGCATTCATAGGCGGAGCAGGACAGTGGATAGGTGCCAGCTGCGAAAGGCTGGTAAAAATCATTAAGAGTTCTTTGTGGTTGTTAGAGCAACCGCACCTCTCGAAGAAGAAGTTACAGATCATGATGGGCCGATGGTGCTTCGCTTTGCAGTTCAGGCGGCCAGGCATGTGTCAGTTTGATGAAGTATGGAACTACATTAGCTCTAAAGGTAGCTCTCAGGCTCAGGTACTTAAAGTGCGGTCAGAGGTGCTGTTTGCGATATTGGGCGCTCCTTTGTTTCACACCTGGCTAGGGGCTAGGATTGATGAGGTCACTACTTGCAGTGATGCCAGCCAAACGGGAGGAGCGGTCGCAATTGCCAGATCTCTTACAGTAGATGGAAAGGGTTTCCTGGAGATTCAAGAACGGACAAATATGCCAATGGAGGTTCCAATTGTCGTGATTTCCTTGTTTAACGGCATTGGAGGCGCCGCCAGATGCTATGACGTGGCTGGAGTCAAAGTCCGCGCCTTCTTAGCCTGTGATATCCACAAACCCAGCAATCGAACCACTGCTCGCAGATGGCCAGACACTATTTTTTGGGAAGATGTTAGGACTCTTACCAAAGAGAAACTGCGGGAGCTACTAGAGCACGTGGAGGATTTTGAGGAGATCCATGCCTGGGCAGGTTTCCCCTGTGTTGACTTGAGCAGTGTTCGAGCCAACCGGATGAACCTAGAGGGAAAATCCAGTGGGCTGATCCGAGAGGCTCATGCTGTATTTCAGGCTTGCCGTGAGCTCTTCCCCGAGGCTGTATTTCATTTCTTTGTTGAAAATGTCTCAAGCATGGATCACGCGGCAAGGAACCAGATCAGCGAATTGCTTGGAGTCGAGCCATATAAGGTTGACCCTAGTGAACAAGTACCTAATTCTAGGCCTCGCTATTGCTGGACCTCACTTCGAATGGAGATGTTTCCTCATCTATATTTCCGAAAGAGAGAAGGTTTTCATGAGATCTGGGTGGAAGGCCAATGGCCCGAGCCATCTCAATGGCTGACACCTGGCTGGTCACAAGACCTGGCCACGGTAGTCTACCCCACGTTCATGAAAGCGATTCGGCGTGACCAGCCGCCTCCCCGGCCGGCAGGGCTAGACCGGACGGACTATGCTACCAGAATCCGATGGGAAAGTGACAGCTTTAGGTTCCCACCATACCAGTATAAATGGCAATACTTGGTTTTTGATTCTGAAGGGTCAGGTCGCCTGTTGAACGCGGACGAAAGGGAACTACTTATGGGATATGGACGAGCCCATACTCAGTTCTGTATGTCCGCCTCCGCGGCTAAAGCCAATGTGACTGCATTTGAGGATGAGCGGTGCAGCCTGATAGGAGATAGTTTCTCTGTCTGGTCTTTTGTCCTATTTGCTGCTGCTGGTGTGGCCCATTACACTAAGAGTTTCGAACCCTCCTTGTTGTTTGGCCGTATGGGCCTCCCCCCTGGTTGTGGACTGCGCCTGCCTTTGACCTGCCCTCTTCAGTTTGGAACATCTTTTGGTGACCTAGGTCTTTCAAAGACGGTGGTGCACATGAATGAACACCTGTGTGCCCGCGTGCGCCACACTGGTTCCGACATCAGGGTTTCCACAGGGCAAGTGCTGAATCCGAAGGCTATGCCACGGCAATCTGTGGCGGCAAGTTGGTGGGAATGGCAGCCGATCTTCAAGACGCGCTGGGACTTTCCCGAACACATAAACGCGTTGGAAATCCGAGCTATTTATCTCACCGTTCTTTGGAAAGCCCTCAACAGGCAATTGGTCAATCGCAGAATCTTTCACCTCACAGACTCCTATGTCGCTTTGTCCATCCTGTCCAAGGGCAGAACAGGGAGCCATAAACTACGTTATATTATTCGGAAAATTAACGCTCTTTTGTTGGTGGCACATTCCTTGCTTCATTTGGCGCACGTGGACTCTTGTGAAAATCCAACAGATGATGCCAGCAGAGCTTGATGTTGTCATCCTTTCTCTCCCATCCCTTCTCTCCCTCCCCATTTATGGACCTACGGCCCAGCACAGGGGTCGTGGAATGGGCTTGTGGTGAAGGGGCGCTGAGTATGGCTTTGACCCGT